AATGGGTCACTTAGAGCGAGTCAAGAGAATCTGTGGGTACCTTTCCAAGATGCGACACGGCATCATACACATCCGAAAGGAGGAACTGGATTACTCAGCGATTCCTAAGAAAGAGTACGAATGGGAGTACTCATGCTACCATGGTGCCAAAGAAGTTCAACCGCACAACGTACCGGTACCTCGAGGCAAACGGGTCATTCTCACCTCATATGTGGATGCGAACCTCTACCACGATCTCATCAGTGGACGGTCAGTTACCGGAGTTCTACACCTAGCGAACAAAACTCCCATCGACTGGTTCAGCAAGCTACAGTCAACAGTCGAGACCGCAACGTTCGGATCTGAATATGTTGCAGCCCGTACCGCCACTGATCAGATCATTGACCTACGAAGCACATTCAGGTACCTAGGAGTACTAGTCGACACACCAACCATGATGTTCGGAGACAACGAGACGGTAGTCAACACCGCCTCAATGCCACACTCAAAGATTCTCAAAAGACACAATGCGCTTTCCTACCACCGTACTAGGGAAGCTGTTGCTGCAAGTATCTTGAGATTTCATCATATCCCTGGATCTACTAACCCTGCAGATATCCTCAGCAAACACTGGGACTAAACATCGGTATGGCCTATGCTGAATGCACTACTGTTTTGGTCAGGAGATACCAAGTATTGCGGTAAGAAACACTCAGAGTCGACAGTCGCCACTAAGGGGAGTAAAAGCGTTACAGTTCCTCCCACGACTCAGAGTATCCGTGAGTAGATTGAGTCATGCTTTATGAGTCAACACGATGGAACAGAGAACGCTGGCAAGAACACGTTCTCAACGAAACCAAAGGACACGGTAAATTGGAGTATTCGACAGGAGTAAAGCATCCTGCCAACGAACCATTTCCCGCAGATACCACGTTGACTTCCGTATGAATCAAGATCAACTACCACGATGCATTGATCTAACACGCTACGAACTAGCTTTACTGATCGCATCAATCAAAGCTCACAACACAGATTATGAATTACTAAGAAGCGAACTTTGCATTTACTTTGCACTCGTCTTGAATAGTTACAGCTGATCTCGTTGGGTGGTAGCTACCTCTACAAGATCCCTCTATTCAAGTAGTATTTCCTCACGTTAGCAGTCCCTCAGAGCCAGTCCTATCGCTTCTCTATTCCACGTGTCCTCGGTGGTGGCGGGGTAACGGTGCACCTTCGGGTCGTGGGGAGATGATCCCATGTATCTCTTGGCCGCAGTCAAAAGTTCACGTTCGGCCTCTTCATCCTTGTTCCCGTTATCACTGACGAAGGATTTCCCTGTTTCTGCTTCTTAGCAACATGCGCCTGGAGTTCTACCATAACGACTCTGGAAAAGTTAAATTGTAATGAATTGAATAAATTCAACAAGAAACGAACGAACCAAATCTAAGACACTTCTCACCATTTGCTTGCGGCTGCAGCTTTATGAAAAGAGCTGTTTCCTCGCTTTGACCAGGACCAAAATCCTTCCTTTTTGAACCATCAACAAAATAGCCAACCATGCTACCCTCGCGATCTCTCTGCCATCACGTAACTCGTATACCTTGATGTTGGCGGGCGAGGATAATTTCACGTCCCGCAGATGCTGGTTCTGAAGAATCTGCGGAAACGTTGGAGAATTTGTTGGTCTGGAAGGTCGATAACTAGTTCATTCACCAATTTGCCACCACCGTCTAGCCACGCCACAAAGATCTCGTTGCTCATGTTGAATTGTATGCTGGAGGTGTCTTTACACTTGTGGCTTAGATAAATTATGATAGCTATCTAGGTTGTTCCCATAGGTAGCCTTCTGTTTCAGTCTTCTGTTTCATACTGGGTGAGTATGGGATACATATAGCTGTACACAGTAACACAGCATAACTGGAACACTGGTACTCAATCTGAACTCCACAATCATAGCATCATAGCCTCTGTCATGAATACCGGCCTATAACACCCTCTTCCAGTGGCTTTGATTGATCTCCTTTGATTGTTCTCGCCTATATCACCCTGTTTTCTCCACCAGACTGAACCACTCACTCTTCTTTTGACTCTTCTTCTTGACATGTAACACTGTAGATTCACTTTGGATTGATTCCCTCTTCTGCTTCCACCCCCCTTTTCGACTTCTAGAAATGTAGGCAGCCTTGGGCTCTTCCTAACTCAATATTTCAAATCCTGCACTGACTTCTTCTGTTGTAGCTTCTCTCTCATAGGAAGCTACGAACCAACTTGGTTTCTTCTTCTTGTTGATTGGATTGTCCCAACAGTTTGCTTCGACATGACCTTGTCTGCCACATCTCTCGCACCCTTCATCCAACTTGCATTGGGACGACAATAATATTTCCTTCTCTTCATCACTGATGTCCTGTCTGGCTCGACTCATCAGGCGTTTTCTCCAGTGCTGATGCATAACATCACATAGGTCTTGCAGTTTCAGGTTGGCACGTTTGACATGCTGCTCTGCGGCAATAATGGACTGGTACTGCTCTGGTGCTGCTGTAATGACGGCTGATATTATGAGCTCTGACTGGTGGATCTTGGTCTGCTTGACTGGATCCCAGAATTGACATTCGATTTCACTGACTCTGTTGAATAGGACAACTGGATCTTCTTTCTTCTTCATGGACAATGCCGACAGTTGCAAACGGAGTTCCACTCGACTGACTGTATCCTTGGGGCGGAATCTTTCTTCAAGTCCTTGGATGACTAGATACGCTAGCCCACTTGGCCAATTCACTGTAATGGCTGCAAAGATAAGTCCGAACAACATTTCACTGGTGAGGGACACTTGCAGAATCAACGTAGCTAGTAGATTGCGTTTCCTCGCAGCGTTCTGCTCTTTTGTATCACCGGACTCTTCAACTTCTTTTTCGGGTAAATCATTCTCCTTAGACAGCGCCTCAGAACACTCATGGATAGCACAGTAGGAACGGAGTCTCATCATAAACATCATGTAGTTCTCCGGGCTTCCATCAAATGTTGGGGGCTTGTTTATTGCCTTTGTAATGTCGGTTGTTTCAGACATGCTGTCGCTTTGTTCTTCAATCTCGACTTGAGTTTCACTTGGGGTATCTTCAACTTGACCTGCTTCTGTACCACTTTGCACGTTTTCTTCTTGGTTGGTCACACCAGTTCTTCTTAATCGACCTTGACTTCCTCTTTGCCACGTCCTACTTTCTGGATTGACTTGCTCAGCCATTCACGTTGCTGTTGACTTCAAGTAACTTGAGATCCTTTGGTGCACTCTGTTGGACCTTAACTTGATTGCGTTACTGCGGATGTTTGCACTTGACTTGGCTCCACACTTCTACGCCTTTACTCTTACTGTACTTGGCACGGCTTCTTGGACAAACGATACCACTCAGGTAACTTAACCTGGACTCACTTGACTTGGGTTTGGTACTGTAGATCTGTGTCTGTACCTTAGATGGACGTCACGTTGACTCCTACTGCTGAGGACACTTGCCTCACTGACTGGACGTTGACTTGGCTTAGCCTTGACAGGGACTTCTTGACTTGGACTTGCTTGGAGTTACGGGACATTGACTGACTTTCACGTGACTCCCGACTGTGACTCGATGTGCGACTGGACTCAATCGATGTGTGACTGGACTCACGATCAGTGACTTGATCGGTGACGTCACTCAACCACGACTGGATGCTTTGTTGTTCCACGAAACGATCGTGACACGGCAACAGAATTGCTCGACAATGACAGAGAAACAGAACAATTTACTAGCGACGGTGCTTTGTTCAGTATCTTGGTCAGGGTCAAACAAATCTCACACACCTCGACGTTAACTTCGAAGTTTGCTGGAGGTGTCTTTACACTTGTGGCTCAGATAAATTATGATAGCTATCTAGGTTGTTCCCATAGGTAGCCTTCTGTTTCAGTCTTCTGTTTCATACTGGGTGAGTATGGGATACATGTAGCTGTACACAGTAACACAGCATAACTGGAACACTGGTACTCAATCTGAACTCCACAATCATAGCATCATAGCCTCTGTCATGAATACCGGCCTATAACATTGTACATTGTAGTAGCTGTGGTAATGCGCTGCTGTTGTCGAATGGATGTGCTGCTCTGTTGTCGATCGAATGGGTGTTGTTCCTGCGGCTGTCCCCGATTGCTGTGGAAACTGCACAACTAACTAGTGTCACTGGGTATTTTTGGACCAAGAAATTTTACTCACCCACGGTAAATTGCTAGCACTTTTTCACAAAATCAACACGGACCACCCACCATCACCATGGCAACTTGCCTTGTTGATATATCAAGAACCATCCATAGCTAGAAAACACGTGAATACTCTGCATCTACATGTACTCCTTCTCCTCTTTCCAGTCGTACCCTTGGCTTGGTTGTGGCATCTACCTGCTAGTTGCTAGCTTAAGCTTTCTGAAAAGGGGCCATTTTGGGGGCAGTTCATCATCCTGACTTGTCGAGCATGAAGAACACTGCAACTGGCCATCATACCTTCTGATATCCTTCTCTTATATGTATATTGGAAGGGGGTGACTTCAAGAAGCATCAAATTTGGACTGGTGGTTGTGGAGATACCCATTTCTTTGGCATCGCTGCTGCCAAGAAGACTAGTAAATTTTCCCTACAGGTACAAGGCACTAGTACCGGTAGGCAAACAATCTTGCTTCTGATAGAACAAGCGCCCTATTGGTTTCTATTGGTTTCTATTGGTACTACAAAATTAATTGTTCCCTCGTGTGTCTAATCCCTGGTGGACCACACTTTGTTAGCTTGCTGAGTCCGAGGTTCAATTGATGTTCATCACTTTCAAACTGCTCTTCAAATGAGAGTGCCATTGCATCATGGGTTCTGCTGCTTTCTTTTCTTTGACTTTGCACCCGATGGATTTGCGGCTCCTTTTTCCCGTATCTTGCTTATCTTGGGGAGATGCTGTTGCTTCAACATCAGGTGTTTTCTTATCCGGCAATGCACTGGACGCACACTGTCGATTTCCTTACTTTTTCAGAGCCGCAAGCTCACGCTGGTATCGGCTCACAGTGGCTTCGGCACTGGCCAGATTTTCGTAGATCGTCTTGAATTCTTGGTAGGCTTCCTCGTCGAAATCTGCTTCCTCAAACGCCAACCTGGCAGCGGCGTCGTAAGGGATGCTCACATCAATGGGCTCTGGTTCGGGTTCCTCATCTTCCACCACGACGGGTTCTGGCTGTGCACCTTGGACCATGGTCCCCGCCACCGTGGCGGCAGCCACAGCCACAACCGCCCCAATGACTTGAGGATCACCCAGCGTGCCCAGTGATGCCAAGTCGAATCCGGCCTGCATGGCTGTGTTGGGACGGCTGAATGGCATGGGCGAAGGCACAAAGGCGGCAGTGGCAGCAGCCACAAGAGCCAAGAGAGCGAGGAAACGAAGGGCGGCCATGGCGATGTTTTCTATGTCTTTCTTTCTGGCTACAGCAATCTGCTTTTCTATGTGGGCTTTTCAAAATAGCTCCAAGACCGATGACCATACAAAGCACAGATCGCCTTCAATGAGAAAGGAACGATGATCCAATCGAAAGATGAGGATGAAGCTCACCCAATAATCCGACAAAATCCTTTGGATGGTGACGTGGCCCAATGAAAACGATTTGTGAATCGAATTCAATCTATAGAATCGAATCGAATCAACCGAATCGAATCAAATCGAATCTGGGTCAATGACAAGATCGAGATCTCTCTCAAAGCTCTAGGGGATGGGCAAATGTTGCGGTACCGTCGAACAGATCGGACCAAATATCAAAGATAGCAGCAGCAACAACTTAATTTCAGATTTCAAGTGTGCGACAACATCATCGTCGTAGCCAGCGCATGGGGGCGGAAGAGCATTTCGACGATGGGGCATGCCTTTTCTCTTCCAGGCAAGTTACGCGAGTACAACCGCCGTACCAACAATGGCAGAGTTTTTGATCGAGACTTATCATTGAGGACTGATTTGGGAGTGAGGCACGATAACAACAACGACACGCTGGTGCTTACGAATGACGAGGTCCGAGACCGTGAAGAATGGAGAGCCATGAAAGAACAAGGTTTTTCAGAGGATCATCGCTCCTGCTCGTCAATCTTGGACCGGTATATTTCGAGAGAAGTGGAAGTCGGAGAGCTGAAGAATTGATGCAATTGCAGGTGGCTGCACCAGTTCTGCATCCTGACCCGTGTAAGGTATCCAATCGAAGTGCGATTGCCGAGGCCACGGCTGACCTCTGGTATCCCCCAAGCCTATCCTCCTGGGATTATTTTCCAGGTTTTGTCTCGAATTTCACGAGTAACATTGTCATGGAGGGAGGGAACGGACAAAAGACGAGAGCGTGGGAAGATTTGTCTATGTCGTTTTCCGCAAGAACCCTCATTGCCGACGAGATTAGCGAGCAACTCTATTTACATGCTCATGTCATGACCGGGCTGCAACGGGCTGGATTAATTGGAGAATTGGTAAATGGAAACAAGGGGCTTGTCTGTAATCCGGATTTTTGGATCGAGGATCATCGGGGAAAGAAACGCATTGCTATTGTGGGGGAAGCGAAATCTACACACAACCTCCCCCTTCCGATGGGTGCGCATGACATTGTAAACCAGTACAATGATGCGGTTGCATCGTCAAGACTAGATCCGACGCGGGCGCAAATACTGGCGTGGTCTCACGTGGGACGCCCTGTTTCGCAGCTGATTGGGTACATGATTCTCAACAGATGCCGCTACGGAATGCTCACGAGTGCCACAAGGACTTACTTCCTTTATATAGACAACGTTGACGACGCGGATATCGTGCGCATAAGTGATGCCTGGTTCATTGGGCAGCCAGGATATTTGCGTGGGGATGTACGACCTTGCAGTCAAGGACAAAAAGCCCCGACTTTCGAAGCAAAAGCGAAGGGGTTGGACTGTGAGCACACCACCCTCCATGAAGGAACCGCGAGGACGAAAAAGAGCGAGAGACGGTACAGATCCTGGAAGACCACATACAAGAAGCACCACACGACAAAGCGGACAGGGCGCTTCTGAGGCCGAAGCGACTACCGAGACCTCGCTTACGCGCTCTCTGGATTCTCAGCGTATTGACATGGTGGATTTCGAAGAGATCGACATTAGAGATCCGATCGGATACGGAAAACGCGGAACATCGTTTTCGGCCCAATGGAAGGATGAGCTGCTCGCTGTGAAGGTATTTGATGCAACGAAACCGGGTGGACAAGGTGCTTTTGAGAAGGAAATTAAAGCTCACCTTCACCTTGAAGACGCCTGGGGACAACTTATACCGGAGCCGCGGTTGGTATCATTTGCGTTTGGGATGTGGTTTCTGGGCATGCAAATGGCACGGCCACCACCCGAAGGTGCACGCTTGGATGATTGGGGGAAGGTGTTAGATGAACTCGAGAGGAAGTATAAGTTTCGCCACCTGGACGTATGGAACGGAGAACGTGGTGACGACTGGCAAAACCTCATGGTTGTCAAAGATAAGGAGGGAAGGGATCGTCCCATCGTGATTGACTTGGAAGACTACGAGCTTTTGTGATGTGGCAATGCCTAGCAACAGAAACGATGCTAGCTAGTTGGTGCTGCATACCTTAGGCCGTTGGATGTAGTGGAAGGAAGCGAAGGAGAAGAAGAGGAGGAAGAACTCCCAGTAGAAATCCAGGAGCGTGTTTACTCAGAAGGTGAAAAAGGAGAACTTGAGCTCCTCGAAGATCTGAAGAAGCACGGCCTCGAGGACTACGACTGCCACGTTGACCTGGACGACGAGGGAAGAACGCACTTGAGGATACCCACTGACGTGCATCAAATGGCCGTCAAGGCTATGGAGTATCGGTTCACTGATGGCCAATCCGAGCCACTCTGCACAGACCGTGATCCCAATGTCAGAGTTACCAAAGGACCGAAAAAGAAGAATCCTGATTTGGCGGTCTGGGGAAAAGAACGGCTCAACAAATTCAAAGTACCCAAAACCGTGGGGATCGGCGGAAATGAGTTGTTCAAACCAAGGATGAATCCACATGTGATTATCGAGTTCTCATGGACAAACAAACTGAAAGAAAAGGAGATTCCAAAGTTCAACCGTCAAATGAAGGATAATGTCGCAGACCTTGGTCAAATCAACCTTGGCTTCCTTTTCAAGGCAAAGGCTGCCAATGGAAAGGAATTAGCCAAAGAAGAGGAGGCCGCCAGTGTTCCACTTTGTGGATATGACGTTTACAAAGCTGAGAGTGGTGAGCAACTGACACCAGGTCAACCACCATTCCTCCAGTATCGCATTGGCGTGCACGAAGATGCATCTATTACCATTCCGGGGGTGCCTGGGTGAGGGCGAGTACAAGGATATTGAGATCCCTCTGCAATTCGTTTGTGAATTCATTGCCGACAGCGGTGTGTGCACAGGAAGAGTAGGATCGAGCCGAAGAATCGGGGAACTATGGTTGGTGTTTCTAAGCCCGAGGAATCCAATTGTTGGGGGTCAAATGGGGTCCATGTAGAAGCTAAAATTTATGCGTTAGGAAAATATATGGTATGATATTTCCGAAAAGAGTGAAGCTCGAGACACGGTGCAGATTCGAAATTTCGACCGTGTTCACAGCCCTTTGTGATCGATTCTCTGCCACTGCAGCACCAGCAATTTGCCACAAGTGTAGCCATAGCAGGGAAGTTTTCGATTGTATCCTTCGGTCTGCCCCCTCGGAAGACAGCGCGAGTTCGGACGATTTTCCACTTGTTGGTTTTTGGAACACTATTAAATTTTATAGTTGGCCTCGTGATTGCTCTTAGGTTTCTATCGAAGAGCATCGGCAGGAGGCTTCGCTGAAGAGGCTGATCGCAGGTGGCCTCTCAGATAGATGCTAGCAAACAGTAGATTCCACGCCTGTACCACAGGAGTTGCCTTCGGGAATGGTTGGAGTCACTCCCGTCTTCTCGCGTACTTTGATGTCCTCATCACTGTCGGAGATTGCCCATACAGTCACGCTGTCACGCACCCATTGCTTGCCCAACTAGCTAGCTAGAGTGGATGATGAGCGGATACCAGAAACCATCCTGCCAAGACACACCTGGCTATCATAGATACAATCTATAACCTTTGCTAGCTACCTGCTGGTAGTAGCCATCAGGTGCATCTGAAAACGATGGCGTCTCTGGCAACTGGCGACTTTTGCGGAACACAGAGCTTTGCTTTGCGGAACCACAGCCTTGCCGATTTCGCTGATCATTTGGGTTCTCTTTTGCTCCTAAGCCAGCCGTTTGTTTATTCATCGATGTTGCATTATTTGATGGTTCACTAACCAGTGACAAGACGCGCTTTGTATGTCGGTCTAACCTGTACGAGGGCGTGGCGTTGGTGCTGCTACCGGTACCAATGTACCAATCAACTGGTACGTTACCATACTGGTACCACCGTGGCTAGCTAGCTAGAAGATCCAGTCACGGTTCAAGATACTGTGTGAGAATAAATAAGTGTCCACGAGCAGAGGCAACCAGCGAGCATCCTTCTTCAGGTGCAGATGCATTTGGCCTATCCTGCCATAGTAGAAAGATACACGTACAAGCTTTCGGCCAAGGACCTGGTGCCGTACCAGTAAGTGGGTGTCTTGGTTGGCGATCTCTTGGCCGAGCAGTTTCGTCCCTGTTCACGTGAGAGTCTACCAGGTAGCTGCACTTGAAGTGGATCAAACTATTTTTTTAAAATACATGTATTGGCTACCGTGCCTGGTTGTTCCGTACCGTACGTTGTCGGAGAGGATCTTCTGCTCCTGGTTTAGCTTTTCGAAGGACGAGGGTCCGGGCCGGGTTTGCTTTTGGAGGAGGCGGTCCGGGCCGGGAGTGCTTCTGGATGCGAATCGAATCCTAGGGACGGCTCTCCCGTATCTACTACAAAGGTTAATGATGATGCTCCCGCGGGTGTGGGGCTGATTCTTCTAGCTAGCTAGAGCCGCTACCGGTAATAGGTCATCATTGGAGCTAAAAATAGATATAAAAATGTAGAACGTCTATATTTTTATTCTCTGCCGTTCGAAACCTTACTCTCCTAGAGCGGTCGATCAGAGATCTTTTTTGAGAGGCCCGCGGTGGTGTGTACCGCAGAGCAGTGGTGTGAGTTATGTTCATAATAATAATAGTCTTGTCAGTCAAATCATGCAGAAAAGTGTTACAGGGCTTGGAATGGGTGTGGGTGGGGTCGGTGGGTGGGGGCGCAGCAATAGTATAGTCTACAAGGAAAAAGATCAGCCAGGTGGATCGTCGTCATCATAACGCACAACATCGAATCGAACCAACACTTTTGGAAGATCGCACCGGGATCTTTTTCCTACTAGAGAAGAGCGGGATGGGGGGGGATCGGTAGTATTCCCTCGGAGGTCATTTTGCGTTCTGTCGATCAATCAATAATCTTTCATCATCACATCACCATGGCTTCTACCGTTCGAGGGGAAGCGTCCACCCCGTGGCTCCTGCACGGACTGGACGCTGCCGCTTTTGGGCGCGCCGGACTGTTGTTGGCAACGGCTTCCCCCGTGGACTGCTGTGAAATGGCCTGGTAGAGATAATTCTGGACGTCCCGAATAGTCTGCGAGGTAATATCAATTCTCAAGGCAGCCGCAATGGTATAGGCCAAGGTTTCGATAAGAGTGGCATCGACCGCGAGTCCTTCCAGCGAATTGATAATGGAGGCATAGGCCACTGTAGATGCCTGGATGGGTACCAAGTTGTAGTCTCCCACGGCCAATTCCGATTGGAACTTGCTGAGATCGTATGCCGCTTCTGCAATGGATTCCTCCAGCGTTCCCATGGGCAGGAGTTCTAGGAACTTTCTGACAAAGGAGAGTGCGGTGGGGGTGTTCACTTTCCATCCCAATGCCTGTAGAATGGTGAATTCCATGGTCTCAATTTCCTGTGGACTGTACTGACCACGGCTGAGCTTGGAGACCAAGTCGACGCCCATGATTTCCGGCTCGTGGATCTTGACAGCCGTGTAGAGCGACGTCATGGCGGCCAATTGAAAGGCATTCGTATCTCCTAGCACGGGTAAACCGGCAGGTGTCAACAGGAAGCGGTCTAGGTAGGACATGGCAATCGCCACCGTCTCGCGGTTGAAAGAACAAAAGTCAACCACCTGATGTTTTCGTTTTCGTTTTTCAAGGGTATATGATGCATAATAGAGGAAAATTGGAGTGGTGCAGAATGGTACAGATAATATCTGGTCAGACATGCAGTACCATGATATGATGCGATCGTGTTTCTATCCACTTTTGTATACCCAAGATCCACCGGTACTGCCATCACGAGTACGGTACTTACCGAGTAACACCACTGCGCCATCTTGGTGCGGCAGTCCACGTTGACTGCTACCAAGTCAGGAGAGTACATGTTAAGATAATCACCGTTTATGTAGCCAATGGCTTCTTGGCGGTGCATCGCCTGGATGGTATCGATAATGCTGCTGCGATCGTTCTGCATGGTTGGTACCAGTAAAGTGTAGCGAGAAAGTGAAAAGACTTTATGAGCGAAGAGCTGCGCGTTGAAGATCCAAAGCACTCAATGGCTTGCTCTATTAGCAAGGATGTGGGGTATCCTTCTATGTCTTGTCTCTTCTTCCAAGGTCTACAAGAGGAAATCTTAATCTGATTCTGCTGTGTAGTGTGAGCGGAGACACAACAACCCGCAGAGAACAACACTTCTTCTTTGCAGTTCGTGTTGCAATTCCTTGCTGCTGGCTTTTGAAGTGCTGGGTAAAAGTCAAGTGACGAGTTGCTGGTTACTGGACCAGTGGCTTGGGCGGCGAGTGGTGTTGAGTCGAGTCGAGTCGAGATCACGTATTGCCAATCCAGCTTCCCCAAGGGGCTGTACTCAAAGTGCCTTAAGAGCCCAAACCTCGTGGGATTAAATCGACACTGAAAGCACTAAAGAGGAGATCAAAGAGAATATAACTAGGGAATGATTACTAAGTCTTTCAACGTAGATCATCACGCTGATTGATGTGCCCGTGTCGGTCGACTTCGCCAAGACATAATGACTACAATAGTCATTATGACTATCCGGGAGAACCCAATCAAAGTTGGCTGTGCAAAGTGCTTTGGATTTCAATCCCATTTCCGCGTGATCTTGTGTACCGGTTCAACCAGTTCAGTCACAATAACATCAGATTCAATGATTCAATGGAAGGTTGCTGGTGCAGAACTGGTGGGGAGCCACATTTGCTACAGTGGTTGGTCTCAGCCATGCCTAGCTAGCAAACAGCTACCTGGCTGGCTGGTATACTGGCATGTTGGATTTTTTGCTGTTTTGTTTGGATGAAGTGGCGCAACAACTTTACAATTACTGTAGAACTTTGGTGTGGCTGGTCATCTCTCGGGTCGGGAGTAAATCAACCTCGGACACGGGTCCAACTCTCCTTTTGGCATCCTGGTAGACGGGGCCTCCTCTCCGAGTTCCTGGTCCGACCTACAAGGTGTTCCGGATCCCTCGACTCAACCGTATTGTACCCTACCGGTATCCTTGTAACTGAAGCACAAACAGTATCCTCGTACTCTGTGTTGGCTCGGTTTGATTCGTCATTCGTCGTGTGCTAGGTTGCGCTAAGATAGCTAGATATTGGTCGACATAGTGAAGAAGATCGATTGTATGTAATCTATCCTCTATTCCTTGTATATTTTCACATATATCGTACAGCTAGCCTTTGAATGCTACGGCGGGGCAATCTGGTTGCCCCCAGTTCACTTGCATGAGGCCAAATGAGCAGAAGTCCGAATAAGCTCTGCCTTTCCCAGTGCCTTTACTCGTAGTTTTCCTTCCTACAGCCATAGAGCAATCCCTGAAACCAGAAATCCCAATCCAAGCGGCAGCATCGGCGAAAAACGTGACCTCGTCGAACTGAAAAACGACAATCCAGGTGGGGTGTCACCTGGTGTCTGGGTCGGTGCATTGTACATAACGATAGCAGCAGTGATCGGGCCTGTCGGACGAGGAGTGCCTCGGAGTGGCGTCGGCACAGGAGTTTCAACTGCGTTTGGATTGGGTGACAATAGTGCGTTGTCGCTTTCAGTGATTGCAGGGACGGGAGGAATGGTCTGTACGGGAGGTTGCGTATCCACGTGCACCACTCGTGATGCAGTTGGTACCTGTGTACTCCCTGCCGTCATGACTTGAGCGCTTGGTGCCGCGGTCGAAACTGTTGCAACTTGTGCAGTCGGCGATTGTGTGCCTACGGAGACAAGCCGTGCCGCGCTGGGTGATAGAGTAGGAGGTCCTGTAGAGAGCGATGCTGTTGTAGGGGCTCCAGTCGCCGCTGGTCCAGGTCCGGGTGTAGCCCCAGTGCTCACAGTCACATTTCGATTGGTCCCGGCAACGGGAGACGAAAACACGCTATTGGCTGGAGCACCCTGTGTGGTTGACGTTGTGGTGGATGCCGTTGTCGGTGCGGTTGTGGCAACAGATGAAGTGGGCGACGCAGTATTCGTTGGGCCTGAGCCTTGTCCCGCTGCACTCGGCGGCGGCAATGTGGCTGCACTCTGCGGTGAAAGTGTCTTTCCAGTTGGACTTTGCGTGACCGGCAATCGCGTCGTTGCACTCTGCGATGGTGCGGCGGTCGGACGGCTTGATACTGTCGGGCTTTGTGTTGGTGAAGGAGTTGCCGGTACCCTCAACACAACAGAGCGCGGAACGCCAACCTCTGGACATTTACCCTCGCCTTCTTCATCTTGTCGCTTGCCGGCTCCTGCGCTTTGAAGCGAATCAACGTTGGCATGACCTCCTATTCCCTCTGCCCCTATAGAAGAAAGCGCTTCGCTTTTCTCTTCTTCTCTGTGCATCCTGAACATTTCTTGCATTGGCTTCGGTGTGACGGCCCTCTCTCGGTCCTCCTCAAAGGTCCTCTCGGACGCGCACGTCCCGGTTAATTCCCAAGACGCACATTCTGGTCCTGCGAATGCTTTTGCTACTGGAAAAACTAGTTCGTCAGGAGTAACTTCGATCGGAAGCGTCAGCTCCCCGTTTGTTAGGATGAGTGCCTCTGATTCTCTCGTTGCTGCACCAGTGTTGTCGGGTCCGCGGTAGGAGTTGGTAATTAGGATCAAACCCAACGGTTTTTTTGCACTGTCATTGCCACCAGTGCCATCAATTGTAAGAGTTTCAAGGGTTTCCCCCGGATGGATATCATAGGAGGGCGCTGACATCCATGCTTGAGGAAACTCGATAGTGTGGAATTGTTGTGAAGCTCTGTCAGTAACCTCAGTCACGCCCAAGTGCGTTGCTGTGGCCGTTAGAATGTAGACGTTGATCTTTTGTTGCTCTGTAGGCGCAGTTGCAAAGCCAATATCATTGGAGCAAACTCTCAGGATGGTATTCGCCGTGTTCGTAGAATGGTCTGGTGGCATTCCGGAGCACTTGATTTCATTGGTCTTCTTGTCGCGAATTATGCAACTAATGGTATCTGTGAATGGAGTGAACACCCCTGAATTGAACAAAATATAATCAACAGTCCCGTCAAAATCGATGTCAACGTGGACCTTGGAGGTGACAAAGCAAGGCCGAAGTTGGTCTGAGATTGCGATTTAAAACTACAGCGGCGCAATTCCTCCTGACTAGAACTCACCTGGAAGAACTCGAGGTTGATCCTCTTTTGCATTTCCTGAAAGCGGATTGAGTGAGCGCAGAGCAAGAGGGTTCGGTAAGTATTCCCATCCGAACCTTTCGGTTTCATCCCGAGATTCTTCGGTGACTTACCCACGTTGTAAAACTGAATTCCAAAAGGTAGTCACAGTTACTGATGGGCTGCTGCGGTTTGAATGCGCGATAGCCAATGTATCGAAAGTCGGACGGGGTGACTTCCTCTCCGTATCCTCCTTCGGGGTCGTCCTCACTAGTAAAGAGCATCTCAAACGCGTCCACTTGAGCTATTCCCGCCCCCATGTTCTTCAGACCAACTGGTACATCCGTCGGTCCACCTTCAAAGTCCTCGATAACGGAAGTTCCGGTAATCTTAAGGTCCGAAGCCTGCCTGATGACGGTATGATAAGCGAGGCTTACATCTTTTCCAAGGTTTTTGTTCTCAATAATCACCCATCCTCCGAACTCGTTCCAATCGTTTAGTGTTGGATCATTGCTTGCCTCGCCTCCCGACGTCATGCGATTCTTGGGGGCCTTGGACGCATCCACCTCCATGGTGACATTGAACTCCACTTCCGAGTTACATCCAACTGGCAGCACTTGAACTGCAGGGGAAAACGAGATTCGTAATGGATTTTCCTGAGTCTCTCCATTCAACTTCTTGGAAGAGAATTGGTTCCGTATACTCAGGGTTTGCTCATTGCCAGAGAGGTTGATCACTCTGATAGTCTTTTTGATTTCCATTTGTTTATGTGCATTGATCAAGCCAAAGCTCAGGGTAGGCTGAACATCTTCCACACAGTACGCCCAAATGTCCGAGTCCAATGCCTTGTCCAGTTGCACCTCTCCAGCTCCCACCAGAGAGTTGGGTGCATCGTCATCCGGGAGACTCGTGTCCGATATTGGCACATCGACGGTGTTGTACTGGACATGCCTCTTGGCATTATTTAACAGTATAGACTTGAGAGCGAATGGTGAGCAACTTGGGCATCGTTCCTTGACCAAAGAAAGAGCTCCAGCCACCACAGGTGCCGCAAACGACGTTCCTTGTACGCCTCTGTAAAAGTCTGTGCCTGTACCAAAGGCTGCCAAAGTCAGCCCCGATGGTGCACTAATGTCCGGCTTTAAGTTGTTGAGATCGCCTGGACCGCGTGAACTGTAGCTCGTGACGTACGAGTACTTGCCAGGACCCCATCCATTTGTGGCAGCTACTGCCACTGAATTGGGAGTTTTGGCTCCAGGACCACCAATGTAGGGTATGTTTCCTTCGTTTCCTGCTGCCACCACTGGCACGACACCTACAAGGTTCAACGACATGGCAAGACATGTGCATGCAGTGTGAGTTGAGTTTCCAGCTAGAGAGACAAGGACAGCCAAAACAGCCAGGTCATGCCAGTGACCATGCCTACCAAGTTCGAACACCTGGATTGATTGATTAGAGGATGTATGGACACTTGTGAGACAATAGTTCCAACATCCCACAAGTGATACCGGTAGCCTGCAGAAGGCCAGCTACACCAGACGAATATGAAAGAAACAGGGCTTACTTTTTCCAGGGCTTCTGTTCTCATGTCATAATAGCTAGATAAATAACTTCCACCCAAGCTCAAGTTGACAATATCAACCTTGTCGTCTGTACATACATCAGAGAAAGATCTGTAAGCCAAACCAAGAACATATGCCACAACTGCTTCTTGCAATACTCCAGCGACAAGCAAGCAAGCAAGTAAGAGTCGAGTAGTCTTACCCATATTGTCATCCTCATTGGGATCCAAGGCATACTCTAGAGCCTGCAGCACTGCAAAACCTGGACATGTTCCGGTGTCACTGGTACACACTTTGCAGGCCAACAGTTGGGTTTGTGGCGCCACGGACAGTACCGCGTCGGCCACCATGGTACCATGTCGATTGGCATCTACAGGATTGTCGTCTGGAGTGGCATCATCTGCCAGGGATTCCGCCGTATGAACAAAGCTCTCTCCCAAGAAATCTCGTCCACCAATGACAGTATTGGTGGGAAAGACGGCAGGATTGACTTGTTTGTTTTCCGTACTCGACGCCTCCGTGCCATATGCCAGTTCATAGTCCTCCACCGTTCCTGATCCACCAATGCGTTTATGGGTATAATCAATGCCACTGTCGAGAATGGCCATGCGGACGCCTTTGCCACCCACACCACAAAACTTGGCTTCCAACGGAGCTCCACCACCGAGGTATTCCACCGCATCGGCATCATCCAGAGTGGAATCTTCTTGGGGCATGACACGTAGGACACCTGGGATTTGGCTCATAATGTGATCCATTTCAGCCAAGTCATCATGCGGCCGAACGGGGTATTCCACAAATACCATATTGATCAATTTGGTCGTTTTGGCCACGATCCGTGCCTGTGGAAATTGTGCCATAATGGCGTCTTGCATGTTGGAGTGTTGGGCGTGCAAGAATCCCTTGCAACGGGCGCATTCTTCTTGGGCATGTTCATCTTTGCCAGTACAGGGACTACAGAAAAAGAGAGGTTGTGCCGATCCTTCCAATCCAACTTGTCGCAAGCTGATAGTGTTGGCCGTGGTGTCGGGTCCCCCGTGGGCGTCATGTTCATTGTCGGCTTGTGGGACGGGATCAAACAAGTGGTCCAGTTGTGCCGAAAAGGAAGCATTCTCCAAATCGCGTCCATTTTTTCGTTGCTGTCGTCGATAGGGGTTTGATATCCAGTGTTGATACCGTGCTTTTATCCTTCGTGCTTCTTGATAGACGTTGACGGGAACGGGTTGACCTCCATCTCGATGCCTGGCAGATGACAAGGGAAGTGCCTGGATCAATAGAACACTCAAGAAGTGTAGCATTATCTTATTCTATAAACGATAATAACATCCATTGGTGATGGCTGGCTGTTATTACAATTGCTGTTGTTCTGACGGTTGATTTGCAACGACTGCTTGCTTCCCTCGAGCCACAGTATGCTGGTTGACAGTCACTCTTTGGCCTTTGGCAAGCATTATCGCACTCGGCACGAGCTTATTGGAGTTGGTGGGCGAAGATGCGAAAGAAGGGAGGAGCTCAATGTGCTTACAGACCGAAATTCATCAATGCCAAATTTACTAAAGTACTTAAACCATATTTTTGTCAAAGCCATGTAAAGACTTAATGGACATCTGGTGAGCGGGATGACCCACTATCACCTTCACAGGCTTACTTTTATGGAAACACGTCATCGAATCTTTTGGCGTTGACGAAAATGACCTGTGGTAGCGATTTATGACTATCCAGTTACCAGATTACTAGAAATCAACCACAACAACCAAGTAGTAACACACAACACTATAAGCAACCTCTTTTCAACACCACCATCAGCCTTTTTCGGCTTATCAGGCGTGGAAGCTACTAGCAAGAACAAGCGATCGGTCGTTCGACGAAGAGAAGAAGAGCTACCGTTCGTTCGGACGCAAGAAGAAGAGCTACCGTTCGTTCGGACGCCATTGTCGAAGCTACCTTTCGGCCGTTCGAAGATACCGCTCGAAGCAACGTTCGAACAACTACCGTTCGACGCGACGCGACGCTACCGTGGTTCGAGCGCCATTGTCGAGAAGATAGAGAAGAAGAAGAAAGAGTTTGTTACTCGTTCGCCGCGACGCTACCGACCATTGTCTCACTGTCGCGATCGTTGAGAAGAAGAAGAGAAGAAGAAGAACTACCGTTCGACCACTCGAAGCAGCGCCATTGTCGCCGATTCGAGGCTACCGTTTCGGAGCTACAGTTCGAACAACGAAGAGATCCTCATTGCCAGATTGGCAGAGGAACAAGAGAAGAAGAGAAGACCTCCAGGCGGCATAGCAACAGAAGACCTCTCAAGAAGAAGGGGCACTCTCAAGTGGAGCGAGAGATAGAGACTTCCAAGTGGGAAGCAGAGGTTTGGACTTGGAATATTGATCCCTCCAGTCTGGATC